GCACGAATGTGCGGCTCGTGCGGTTGCAAGTATGGGTTAAACACATGGTAACCCCGGACCCAGACCCCTTTCCCGCATATAGTGAAGTAATAAGGTCAGAGATTACTCGTCTGACACGGCAATGAGTTTACCACTTTCATCGGCGAACAACCGAACCCTTGGAACCTCGACCTTCCACCATTACTGATGGGGTAAGACTATGCCTTCACCATATTCACTACAGTCACCTGTAAGAACTTAGGTACGAGCCGTATGAATGATGTGTGCAAGAAAGACAAAGAGTCAGACACATCATTCTCATCACAACAGAGACACTTCCGGACTGTCTTCCGGACCAGTGTCTGGACCAGTCCGTACTGTCCGGCGATCCGAACATCGCCGGATCTCCGGACACCGGACAGTCCGGACCGGTCCCCGGGGTGCAAAAATGTCTGGACCCAAAAATAAAAAAGAAAAAGAAAAGAAAAACCAGGGGGTGAGGGGGAGGTTGGGTGGGGGTGTTGGCAGGCACTTACCTGCTTTGCACTCTGTAGTTCAGGCAGCAGAGCACGTGTCTTGCAGCATATCAAGTTTAATCAACCAGCACATTTTACTAGCAGGCATGCAGAGTTGCAAACAGTGCAAAGTAGGCACAAGACTAGAGAAACAGCGAATTCTTTTTTGAAAAAAGTATGATTAACTTTGGAACTTTGAACTTTGGATTTAGTAATTTAATTATTTAAGTTCATAACTTCATATATAACTTAAAAGTTTGAACTTTGCAGTTCAATTCAGAACGTCAGAGTCTTCAGACTGGCAGCACTGGCAGCACTGTCAGTGCTCTCTCTCTCTCTCTCTCTCTCTCTCTCTCTCCTGTCTCTTATACACATCTAGATGTGTATAAGAGACAGGGCCTGTGCAAAACCCGCCACCTCAAAAACCTGCAGTGTCTTGTGTCTGGACCTCTAGGCCATGTCCGGTGGGGTGAAAGGACACTTAAAAATCACCCCATTATTTTTTGAGGGGCCACTAGGACCCGACAAACGTCCTGGGCCGCCCCTTTTTTTTTCTTTGATTTTTGCTCCAGGGGCCTCCATCCAGACATGGGGACCGGGCCCCGAACACCGGACTGTCTGGAACCTGGTCCGGACGTCCGGCCGGTTACCATGGTTAAAAACCTTCCCACCAATGAGCCTAGCTTAGTTGGTACACCCATGAACTGTTGAAGTACAGAACTGAGTTCGAATCCGATGGAACCGGAAGAGTGAAATCCAATACCAGCGGCGAGTACATTCCACAAGGTTATCTCAAGGCCATGATCGCCCTTAAACCACCAGTACATTTCGCAGGCAAATTCGAAACACCGATATACCACACACACACCACATTCTTCCGGTCAATAGTGCTACCAGACCAAGGTGTCGGGCCGGAAGAAAAAAAAAAAAAAAAAAAGTGCTGGCGCTTCGGCAAAGTTTGCCACGGCAAAAAGAAGCTCGGAGGTAGTAGGGGTGGTTTTAAAAGTGAAAACAGTTCAAAACACACATTTTGTATTTGTTATTTTTGTTTGGCTTTTTAAAGGCCAATGAGCTTGACAAATTACTATCGTACCGACTGGACTGGCCTAGCTCAGTCGAAACACCTGTCACCTGCTGAGAAACATACCAGGGTTCAAATTCCGACGTAATCCCACATTGCGATCGAACTAACTGGCCCAGGGAATTGAGCATTCCGTCCAAGGCGGCAGGACATCGCATCCTCAGCCAAGGTGGCCTTTACAGCCTCAGGGGAACCCCAGCGAGCTGTAACCTCTCCTGCATACTGGGGGGACACTCTCTCTTTCCAAAATGTATCTGACTGTGATAACGGCCGACCGGGATGCATTTGACTACAATCGCCTACAGAAATAAGTACAGGAGTCTTAGTGAGAGGAGACTGTGAGCATGCCTTCCCTGAGAGAGTCAACCTGCAACAGCCTGGGAATGGGACTAGATGCATGGTACCAGGCAGGCATCACGATGCGCGTACGAGACTTTCTCCCCTGCCCCTAAGAACAGCAGCAGTGTCTAATATCGTGGCTTGGGGCCTCGGGCTATACGGCATTGCCTAGACAATGGGCATCAAGCATGCACACACAACCACATGAAACCAACAGGAATGGAACCTGAGACCTCCCAAAGGGCACTTGTCTGCCTCACCAACAGGAAACACCTTTTTCGTCAAAGGTTTATGTTAAAAAATCACGCTCCTCCGTCTAGCCAGTAGCTCAGTTGGTTAGGCACACAAGTGGCATTGAGGAGGTTGTCGGTTCGAGCCCCATGAACGCCGGCAGTGCACTTAGTACCAACCAACTGCGATAGTCCACTTGATACCCCTCATCAGTATTAGTAGGGTCTATGACCAATACGCGTGTGATTGTGAGCGTGAGTGGGTTGTGTGGTGTGTGGTGTGTGGGAGAGTGTTGGCCATAGGCACTGCTGCTATTTGATGGGGGGTGGGGGAAGTAGATGGGAGGCGCAGCCACTGGCAAAATGTTCGGTCTTTGTGTTAGCCGGCCGCCCCCGCAGTCGGACCCACCCTACTCCCTGACCACCACCAATTAGGGCGGCGGGCAACATGCATTTGTGAGAGGTAGCTATGCTTGCAGGGGTCCCCTGTATAGGCTTAGGAGTAGTAGTAGGTAGATAGTGAAAGCGGAAATTCAGCGAAGAACACAACTTAGTGCAAGTGGCCTGTGGCTCAGTGGTTTGCGCACGGTTTGTCAATGTGCATTGTGGTCTGAGGGTGTGGGTTCAAAACTCCACACCTTCGTGCAGAGACACCGGAGGCTGTTTACATAACGCACGGTCACTTGCATACCCCCTTGGGCTGATGCAGGTAAGCTATTACAGACACTGCCTGTGCACCACCCACCCAAGGGTTGTCCGCGGTGTTGTATGTCGGGTCTCAATGCTGCGTAGGTTGCTTGTCGCTGTTGGTTGTGGTTGTTCTGTTGATCTCCCCAGACGGGGAACCCCATAGCAGCCAGCCCTGGTTCCGAAGCACCTACCGGGCCGACTTCACAATGCCTCAAATGAGGGAACATGTGGGGGCTGCGCCTGACCTGCAGGAGGGCAATACTGGCCAGGGAACAGCCGGCAGCATCAGGGACCATGCCAACGGACCAATACCTTCGCCTCCCCTCCGCTGCCCTCCTATACGAACATCAGCAGTCTCTGCTCAATGCCGATCCGGGGACTAGCGGTCTATCACTAGGTGGTGGGCGCACCCCCTTCTCCCAATCCAAAAGCAAAATTCACATATTATTATGATATTAACAGTATCCGAGAAGCGTACATCATAGTTGCAGGGAGTATGGGCTTCAGGTGGAGTCTGACGTACACTCGTGCGCTGCTATCCTTTAGTATTCGCACACCCAACTCCATTGTGGGACTGCGCACACCCTAGGCAACAGGCACATATGCAGAGAACAACCAGACCACCGGGGCCAGACTTCTCCATCGGATACTAATTTTTATGGCAAACGGTCTCTACGGGACGATCCAAGGGAAGTGTCAACGTCAACAGGACCTCAGTGACGAGAACTTACAACACCTCCCAACTGCACACCCGGCCACTTCCACCATCCTCGCAATTCCGCCAACCCCAATTCCGCTCACCCCGCATGCAACCATCTGTCAGCTAATGCACAGAGAAAGAAACTAACGAAAACCGAAGGTCCGAAAGAAAGAAAAAGACACGTTAGACATGAAAAGAAAAGAAGCCATGGGAAAAAAAAAAAAAAGAAAGAAAGAAAGAAAGAAAGAAAGAAAAAAAGAAAAAAAAGAAAAAAAAAA